AGCCCCGACTTTCATGGAACCAAGGAGGCATTCGCAGCTTGCAAGACTCCCGCCGCTATCATTGGCTGCACTCCCAGCGTCTACCAACAGATGTATGATTCCAAGTTCGTCCAGACCCTTCGTGCAAACGGAGGTGACAGTGCCTATGGTAAGCTCACATATTCGTAAATCATTTGGTCTAATCCTCTAACAAGTTCCATTTAGTTCCTACCACTTCCCTCTTCAGCGCAACAGACGAGGTTGTTCAACCGCAATCAGGTCCCATTGCCTCGGCCATTCTCAAAGACGGCAATGGTGTCGAAGTTAGCAACATTGAGGTTCAGAAAGCTTGCCCCGCTACACCTGCTGGTGGCGAAGTCACCCACGAAGGCATGCTCTACAACTCACTTGCATTCGCCCTACTGAGAGACGCTCTCACCAATGAGGGCCCCGGCAAGCTCGACCGCATCGACAAGAAAATATGCGCCGATCCTGCTGCCGGCAAGCTTGACGCCCTCGAGATCCAGGCAACCGAAGCTGTGTTGGTCGACGCCGGGGCGAACGTGCTTGCCTACCCCAACAAGGTCAGGCGTGAACCCTCTATCAAGGCCTACGCCAAGGTCTAAGCATCGAAAACTATTTTATTGTCAACGAGCTGGCGTGTAATATTCTTGTAAATTATTTGTTCACTACTTGTCAACAGTACTAGTAACCATACACGAGCAAGCGAGCGAGCGAGCATATTAGCGCATTCATATCGACATGGCTTTAGCGTTGCTTTGGTTCTAGAAAATAAAAATCTGGTTTTTTTGCTTTATAACCATCTGAGAATGAGGTCGAACCTTGCCATGACATGTGTCTTGCAGTGTGACTCCATCATGACTTCTCACCTTTGGATTGTGCACAACATATTCTATCTTTCTAAATCAACCATCATGTTGAATCTAGGCCAGCTCCAAAATTTTGGTAATAACTTCTTTATAATGATGGGAGTAGGGAATGTGATGGAACGTAGGAAGTTTCTGTGAAAACAATCTGCCGGGGTAAGGCCAACCAACCGGCCCACTCATCTCCCAGATGTTGGCAGATTACTTCCAACAGATATGCCCCTGAGTCGCCAATCTGCCAAAGGTCCCGTGCCAGATGCAGGATAGAAGCGTAATAAGCCAGAATAGCTATCGCTTCAGGCTTTCTTTCGGCAAGCTTCCTAGTATATTCCTCTGATACCATCAATGACCAGGAAAAGACCATCTGAATCAGGTACTTCCGACCCATGAATACCCTGGTGTCTAGATCATCTAGTGCGACCTGTATTAGATCGATAGCCGACATATAAACCTCCTTCTCAGCGGGCGAAATGTTTGGTGATGTAGATATCAAGTCCAGGATGCCATCACAATCAGGACCGACACCTTTCAGCCGACTCAGGCCCAACCCCCACGACATCAAAGGGACAAGCTCCGATGTCTTCAGCAATGCCCAGGCGCGACTCACGATTACCCTGACGCCTCTCCGGATCCTGGCAAAGTTCACGTAGCAGTCAATGAACGGATCGAGACTGGTGCTGCGGAATGCGAGTGCGTCGATGCACAGATGACGGCCAAGGATGGCGGAGAACAGGACCAAGGGGACGCAGCTGGGCTCGTCTATCCGCGCCTTTTGAGCGTTGAATAATGAAATCGCTCTTGTTTGTAGCTGAACTGCGTCGTGTAGGAATTCCATTGCATTTTCTGGCTCGAGGATCGACATATGCCGAGCAGACAGGGCAAGGATCTCGTGCATGAGGTACGGGGCATCGGACCCTGTCTTGAGGATGAGCTGCGTATTTCGTTCGATGAGACTCGGTTCAAGCTCGGGCACGGCGAGTGCTAGAGAAAAGTGCACTAGGAATCTCATGTGCGCCATGTTGATCATGTTGTCCGATAGACTGGGAGCGGGCTGGCTCATGTCGCCGGTATACACTATCAGGTGGGCCAAGTCCGGAGTCGGGATGACAGCGGGGCTCCTCCCGGTCGGAGATCCATACGGCGAATTCGGCTTCGAGGTTCCAGCATCTGACAGCACAGAATCCTGCATGGGTTCATCACCGCGTGTAGAACTTGCTACAGATTCTGGATCTGCAGCGTACGGGAATACACATGTGCGGTCCACCATCGTACAGTTGACGCATCTTGGTCGAGTCTCATCGCACTGCTCATCTGATTAGTAGATGTCTTCAGCCTTACGACGCCCGTCGGCGGGTTACGCGTAACAAATACGTGGAGACTGATACGTCCAGCTTACCTTCATGTGGCGTCGTTTGCACTCGGCACACCCCTTCCGGGACTTCCTATGGGAACGTCTGTACATGGTTGGTCCGGTCGATGGCTATACTGATGTACTCTTGTCGGCTCGAATACCGTCTAAGTTTGATGCACACCCCTGGGAATCTGTAGACCCCCGAATGCTTCGAAAATCGCAGCGTGCCAGATCGATTCGGTTGTCCGCAATAAAGAGACATAAAGGCGACCATTGAGGTTTTTCCACTTGACTGAACACTTTGCCGGTGAACAAACTTTAAAGAGTCCACACGGCTAGCTAGGCATACTCGCCCAGCTTCTCTAAGCCATGATGCTTGACGTACGTGGACCTCAGCCGCGATTTGTTTTTCGAGCTGCGCCGGGTTTCACGGGTGATCCGTGGACCATGTTATTAGTCTGTCCGACTTTATGCTTAGTTTCGCCCCTAAAAAGCTCTGCGATACGTGTATTCGGGAGCCGCCGGGCCAATAGTCGGCTATCTTTAGTGTATGACCCACCCGCAGAATACGTGTATTCGCATTTACCTCGGACCACTCCTCATCATAGACTCCCAAGGCTGATTTTCCAGGTTTGATTCGTTACTAGAACTCGTAAGGGACAGTACATACTTACCTACTCAGACAGCGAGGAACCGTAATAGGGCAAGCTTTAATTACGCCGTACTCTCTACGTACAGTACGCCGGCAAAGACTTTTGCCACGGCCCACCCCAGCGGTCCTCATCCGTCGACCAGGATCTCGCTGGAGCATTGTTGGATGTTATCAATGTCAGACAACTGCAAATAACTTGAGCTGTAGGGACTCTTTAGCCTGCTGGACTGAAGAAAAAATGATGTCCACGGTTTGAGCCCACTCCCACGTCTCCTTTTTGGCGTCCAATCAAGGGTGAGCAATGGTTTTCTCCCTTTCCTAGGTAGATCAGCAATTTCACGAATGTTCCTCACACAAACCTCGACTTCAAGCACGTACTAAATCACTTGACTCGATGCGTTCCGACAGCAATAACATTTGAACGGCAGAATTGAATGCTTCTTTTCTGACATGAGTATCGCGACAAGATCAGCAAAGAGGTGAGGGCCGAGGCCTGGGCCCAAAAGCCCTTGTCTTTTCTTGGAGAGCTTTTCTCGAAACCGTCATGTCAGGATTTCAACATGCTCTTTGCCCTCAGGAACCTCAGAAATGGATGTATTGAGCTGAAATAACTGATACGACGTGCAGTTTGTGATGGGCGAGAAAGGTTCTGCCTCAATTTCAATGGAGCCTCTTCAACTATTCAACTTTGCCATGAGACTTCTCGTAATAAGACAAATCATCAAGTGAAGGCACAACGATGGAGTCACTAGATTTTTGAACATAAACACTAGACCGAAATGGCGATCGTGCTGTCGCTGATTATTGATTGATTCACGAGTACATGCATGCTTCGTATCTTGAAGTTCGGCCCCATGGGTCTCAGTGGCACGAGAGTGACAGGCACTCTGTTGGTGGGAATCGAAAAAAATTGAATCAACCAGTGTGCCTCTTCGTCGGGATGCTGCTCCCTGCGTGTCAGCATGCCGTTCTAGCAGCAGTTGTATGAGAAAATATGAGCCAATCGCTTTCATTTCTAGGCGCGAAAGGAACGCCCAAACAACACGACTAGGCATTTCCCGAGGCAGACTTTTGGTCGGCAATTCTTTTCTGGCCAATAAGAGGTTTAAAGAAGTCAAGGGTGATATTCGTGCATAGCAATAAGGGGGTTAGCAGGAACTGCCGCATTTCTCACGTTCTTCTTGCACCCCGCTCTCCTCATTTCTGCCACTGGATCATAGGAGCCATCGGCGTTGCAGGTCAAATTATCAAAGCGGGAATTAAGCTAGGAATTGATTGGAAAGAAGCGCCGAGCGATGTACGAAGCTTTTTGGGAGAGCTGGAGACACTGAAAACAGTCCTTTCTGAGACCCACACCAACATTATCTTGAATCAGGAGTTCAAAGACGCTTTCGAAGGGCGGCAGTCTACAGTACTTTCGTACCTTGCGGACGAAAACCCGTCCTCTGATCCCAGCACCCCGGGGCTCATATGTGTCTGCCGGATTGAGCTCGAAGACCTCTTTAATAAGCTGCAGAAGCAGAGCGAAGGGCATCGTCTTGGCTGGGATAGACTGAAGGGGGCATTCAGGAGCGAACGAACTCACGCTGCTGTCGACGACCTTCAACGAAGATGTCGGTTACTCAATAGCATGACAGCCATTGATAATGTTACGTTGACAGCAACAACTATGGCGCAAGTCAAAGACGCAAGGAATGAGATACGGCAGCAGCTCCAAGACGAAAATAAGGCCATGATTCTAGAATGGCTGACGCCAACAAATTTCGCAGCACAACAAAGCGACAACATTGAAAGAAGATATGGTGGCACCGGACAGTGGCTCCTTGACTGCCACGAATTCCAGACATGGATCCGGACTGAGAACAGCACTCTGTTCTGCCCCGGCTTGCCAGGCGCTGGCAAAACGATCCTTGCGTCGGTCGTTGTTGAGTACTTGCACAAGCGGTTCTCCACTGATCCAACAACTGGAGTGGCGTATGTCTTCTGCAATTTTCGACGGCAACACGAACAGACTATCCGAGACATTTTAGCCAGTCTGCTCAAACAGTTATGTCATGCTCTTCCAACCATACCGGGTGAAGTACAGCAGCTTTACAAAACCCAAACAAGAACCAAGACACGACCGTCAAAGATGGAGTTAGTCAATTTGATAAAAACAGTAGCATCGCTATTCTCCAAAACGTTCATGCTTATCGATGCACTCAATGAGCACCAAGCCCCCGAGGGCCTCCTAGAGACAATCTCGGGAATACGAAAACTCTCAAATATGAGTCTTTATGCCACTTCCAGGTTCATTCCAAGTATCACTCAGCGATTTCGAGACGACCGAAGGCTTGAAATTAGAGCTTCGGATGGAGATGTAGCTGATTACTTGAATGGAAATATGGGACAGTTACCCACTTTTGTGAAGAGGAACACAGATCTTCAAACACAGATCAGATCGAAGATTGTGGCGAGTGTGGACGGCATGTAAGTTATAACCCAGGACAAATTAAGATAAGTCAACTGACGTAGAGAAGGTTCCTTCTTGCAAAGCTACATCTCCAGTCATTGACTGGCAAAAGATCACCAAAAGCCGTCAAAGCCGCTTTAGAAACACTCGCCACTGGCTCCAGCGCTTATGATACTGCTTACGATGAAGCCTTCGAAAGAATTGAAGGTCAACTAGAAGACCAATCAGCACTTGCCAGGGATGCATTATCGTGGATTGTTTGCTCGAAAAGGCCGCTTCAGATCGTTGAGTTACAAGAAGCTCTTGCAGTGGAGCAAGACATGACCGAGCTCGACGTGGATAACCGGCCTGAACTCGAAGATGTCATCTCGGCCTGCGCTGGGTTGCTCACAATCGAGGAATACAGTCGTGTAGTGCGGCTTGTGCATTACACTACTCAGGAGTACTTCCAGCGGAATAAAACAAACCGACTGCCTGGAGCAGAAGCTCTGGTAGCAGCTGCTTGTGTGTCATATCTCAGCTTCGATGTTTTCGATGCGGGTCAGTGCAAATATCAGAATGAACTAAGAGATCGCCTCCAGGATCACCCGCTTTACGACTATGCTTCAGCGAATTGGGGATACCATGTTCGGGAATCACATCACGTCCGGGAAGAGGTCATGTGTTTCCTGGAGGACCAGGAAAAACTGTGCGCCTCAGTGCAGGTGGCCTTTATGCCAAAGACCCGGTATTTTTATGAAGCCAATCTTGTGACTAGTCGTGTCATACGGTGTCCAATTTTCGAAATTTCTGGCTTACACGTTGCTGCTCACTTCGGACTCAGAGAGGTCTTCAGTCTTGTCTCGAACCGAAATCGTTCGAAACAAACACAATCTCTACCGGGAGCATCAAACCACACTTGCCACTGGAGGAAGCTCGAGATTAACGCACAGAACCCTGAGGGCGAAACCCCTCTTTTTGTGGCAGTATCTAGGAACTTTGTAGATCTGACCAGAGATCTTCTGGAGTGTCATGGCGCACAGGCGTCCAAGGACACTCATGGGCAAACAATTTTGTCCGTTGCTGTCCAAATGGGACACTACGACATAGTCCGATATCTTGTCTGTTGCCAATTAGGTCACTTTGATATCAACGAGCCGGACACGCATGGGTCCACTCCATTGCTTTATGCAATCGCCAAAAATAATCAGGATATCATAGACCTCTTACTCGACGTTGATGGAGTTGCATACAACCAAAAAGGCCCGGGCGGGAAAACGCCCTTGTTGTTGGCCGTAGGCTTGGGACAAGACTCTACTGTCAAGAATCTTCTCGAAAGAGACGAAGTGGACGCAGACTCGAAGGACAACGAAGGTCGAACCCCGCTATCGCATGCGGCCAGGAACGGCAACTTGAATATACTTGGTCGTCTTCTCGAAACAGGCAAAGTGGAAGCCGACTCGAGAGATGATGCTGGCAGAAGTCCGTTATCATATGCAGCCGGAAAAGGCGATTTGGAAATAGTCAGATGTCTTCTTCGAACAGGAAAGGTCGATGCAGATTCCCGAGACAGAGACGATCGGACACCACTGTTTTATGCAGCCATGGCTCCCAACAAAGAGACCGTTCGCTTTCTTCTTGAAACTGAGAGAGTCGACGTAAACACGTTGGACGTCTTTCGCCAATCGATCTTGCTTGGGATGTGGCCTTCCTACAGGCTCTGGGAAGGTCCGCAGTTCCGGACTGCGGAAACACATGCAGCGTTGATGGACACGACCGAACTGTTGATCGAAATCGGAGGGGCTGATCCAAATGTGCGCGACAATCGAGGGCGAACATTGCTGTGGAAGGCTCTTTTCCACGGCCATGTGGAACTGGCAGAATATCTCGTCAATAGCGGTCGAATTGATGGACCCTTGAATTCAAGGGACATTGCCGGTCGCACTCCAATGGATGCCTTTGCTAACGAACTAGAAAATGAAGGGGTTGCAATGAAGCCCGCTCTCGTAGACATATGTAACGAGCTGGAGAGATTGAGAGTGAAGAGCAACGACTGAAGCCAAGCTCCGGAGGAATAGATAGGTGAAATGTCGTTGCCAAAGCTTCATACTTGATGAAGGCCGTACTTGAGTATGGTAGCTTATAATGATTGGCCTATCATTCATGCTGCGGTTGGTACATCTGGTCATCGCAGTCTTAGACGGATGTGCTTAATGTGAGTGTGGCATCTGGGCGCAAATCCAGAGAAGCTTACTTTACGACCAAAAGACTGCTATGACTGAGGTACCGCTAACCGTCCGGTCTTGCCATAGCCTACCGTAGTCAATATAGCCAGACAGCACAGCCAAGTTAACTGATCCCTTGCAGCCCCCCCCCCCCCCGGCCCCCTAAATACAGGGCATAGCCACCGCTTCAGTACCTGAGTCGAGCCCTAGCATGTAGTGACCAACACCCCTTCTTTTATTTCCCATGCCCCGGAAGAGACAGAGATTATTGGCAATCTACTAGCCGAGCGAAAGGGAAGGATAGGGTCAGTGATTTCTAAGGAAAAACGATAACAATGATTCAACACTAGACAATAAGGTAGCTAAGGAAAGTAACAAATGTAGATGACATCAAAACTCCACAATGCCTGACCCAATGATTTCCAATCTCCACTGTATCTCCTCCTCCTCTCAGCCTCAGCTATGATCCATCCAAGACCTTTCTCTCCAGGTTGCGCTGTTTCTCCCACTGCTATCCCTTGCCAGTTCCCATAGCGTTCCCACACGAAATACAGATAAACTTGTTACAACTCACTCATAACAACTAGTAATAGTAAGGAGACTGCAGAATTGTGGTTCTGATCGCCCTTGTGTCCCGTGTGACCACCATGTTCCCTGTGTAAATCCTTCCATCGAGTCTGATCTCGTATCCTCGACTCATACAAGTACAATCCATATCCTCATAAAAGCGCCCCCATTATATCTTTGACGATATCTCCGAAAAACACTAACAATCTAATAAAACACTACTCAATCGTCTTCATGTCTTCGTAGTATGATGATGCCCATAACTCTTTCTCTCATCTCTCTTGTATCTCTCCTAATGTTGTTGCCCCGTCTCTAGTTACTCCAGTCGAATCCGACGCAAAGCTTGCTCTTCTTGCAGACAGCCTTTGTGAGAGTCTGGATGCTACCACTGCTCAACAACTCGAGGACCTGCATGTTGGCCTCGAACTCGCGAGTGATGAAGTTACGGATCTCGATGGCGACAAGCGAGTCAAGCGGGTAGTGCGACAAGCTGCGGGTGACGTCGAGGTCTTCAATCTCCATCATCAGGACGGCGGCAATCTTCTCGACCAAACCGCGGCAAACAACCTCCATGGCCTCTGTCTCGCTACGCGACGCCTTGAGGGCGGCGTTGAGTGAGACGGCACCGTTGGCACCGGCCTCGGCAGCGGCAAGCTCCTCGGCGGCCAGGCGGAGAGCCTTGAACTTGGCATCGGGAGTCCAGAAGGGCTGGATGCTGGGCGTGATGCGCATACCAGTGATGACGTGGTGGTTGCAGACGGAAGTCTTGTTCGAAATGGATGCGCCGATGAGAGCAAGCACCTCGGCCTCGCAAATGCTGTCGGATCCCAAGTTCTTGGCGACCTCAGCAGCACGCTCGGCACTACCATCGGCCAGGTAACCGGCATCAGAGACAGCGGTCAAGTCGAGAGAGGTAGCGGGCAGACCAAGGGCAAGACGGTGCTGGACGAAGGCGTTGAGGAAGCAGTTGGCGGCGGCATAGGCGGCTTGACCACGGTTACCAACGGCTCCGGCAGCGGAAGAGATGGCAATGAAGAAGTCAAGCTCAGTCTGGCGCTCTTGGAGGGCATTGTGGAAGTTCCATGCACCCTGGACCTTGGACTCGGTGACCGAGGTGTAGTCGTTGTAGGTCATTTGCTCGAACAGAACGTCCTAGACTGATGTTAGTATAAAGAAGGTGAGGTGAATAAGATGGGTAACATACGCGAAGGACCATAGCACCGTGGATGACACCACGGACGGGAGGAAGACCCTTGAGGCCAGTGTTGAACAACTGCTCAACGCTAGACTTGTCGGCGACATTGCAAGGGCGAACGGTGATGTGGGCACCATCGTTGGCAGCCTCGTCGATGAGCTCCTTAACCTTGCCAGTGGCAGAACCATTGCGGGACAGGAGAACAAGGTTCCTGGCGCCGTGGGCAACCATCCACCTGGACATGCTGCGGCCGAGACCACCAGTACCACCGATGAGGAGGTAGGTAGCATCAGGCTTCAGAAGGGCCTTGGCAGCCTTGGAAGGAGTAGCCATGACGACATCCTCAGCATGAGGAACAACAACCAACTTTCCAGGTCCTTGGGTGGTTTGCAGCGTCTTGAAGGCTGTCTCCATGCAGGACACGGGGAAGACGGTGGCAGGGTCGATGGGTCGGAGTTGGTCGTCGGCAAGAAGTTTGGAGACATCAGCGACGAGTCTCTCCATAATCTTGGGCCTCTCGGCGGCAAGGCCGAAGATGTCAACACTGAGGAAGGAGGCGTTGCTGTCAGACTGGCCCATGTCGAGGCGGGTGGCGCGAGAGCCATCCTTTCTGCGAACATCAACAAGGCAACCGAAGCGGCTGAGGCAAGCCCAGCTCTCTCTCAGGGCATCAGCGCCGGGGAGGGTGTTGAGAACAACGTCAACACCCTCATCGTTGGTCGCGCGTCTAACGGCGGCTCTCCAGGTGGTGTTGCGGCTGTAGAAGATATGGTCCTCAGGAACATTGTAGTGCTGCATGAGAAGCTTCTTCTTGGCGGCGGTGCTGACAGTGACGAAAATCTCAGCACCGATCATCTTGGCGAGGCAGACTGAAGCCTGGCCAATACCACCACCGGCAGAGTGAACCAGGATGCGCTGGCCCTCACGGAGGCGGGCTTGCTCGACCAAGCTGTAATAGGCAGTGCAGTAAGCCAAGGGGAGGGTCGAGGCATCCTCGAAGGACATCTTGGATGGCATGGCCATGACGTTGGCAGCGGTGGTGCGAGTGCGGGTAGCATAGGCACCGTGGCTGATGGTGAGGGCGGCGATGCGGTCGCCGGCTTTGTGGGCCTTGACAGCAGAGCCGACTCTGGTGACGATACCGGAAGCCTCGACACCAAGAGCGTGCTTGTCAGCCTCAGGGATCTGGCCCTTGGCGATCATAACATCGCGAAGGTTCATGCCAACGGCCTTAACGTCGAACTCAACCTCGTTGTCACCAAGAGGCTGTGTGGCAGCAACGTCGTCAACGAAGTGCACCGTCTCAATGGCACCGGGGGTAGAGAACTCCATCTTGAGGCATCGGTTGTCCTTGCCGAAAGGCTGCATCTCAACAACGCTAGGGTTGGTCTCGCGGTGGACGAATTCGTTCATGTCCTCATCGTGGACAATGCGGGGAGTGGAGAGCTTGCCGGATCGCTCCATGAACTCAAGCTCGCTGGTCGACGAGGCACTAGCACCGAAGGCGAGCTTGAAGATCTCAAAGATGACTGCAGCAGAATCGTCCTCATCGAGCTGGTTGTTGTCATCCAGATCAAGGGTGGCGAAGGGCAGAACAGTCTCAGAGCGAACGGTTCTGCTAAGACCGATGATCATGTTGGACTCAGGCGAGGTAGCCTTGTCGTATGCACCACGGACAACCCACAGGCAGCCCTGGACACCGGCAAGCATGCCACGGACTTCGGCAAACTGCTCCTTGGTAGGGTTGGCAAGGAAAGGTTGCTCAATCTCAGTGAGGACGACGGTAAGCTTGCCCTCAGTGTTGACTTCGTGCATGGTACCCATCTCAGGCAGTCTGGAGGTTGCACTGGCCAGAGCAATCGCCAGGCCGTTGGCCAACATCTGCTGAGAGTTGGAGTCGCCGTGAATGATGGCGACGTCAACATCGGGCAAAGGAGCATCAACCTTGACGCCGGAGGCACCGTTGATCTTGGTCTTGGACTTGCCAGACAGTGACTTCAGAGTTCCAATCTCCTCCCACTCGAGCTTGTAGCAAAGCTCGCGAGCAGGGTTGCTGGCCAGCTCAGTCTCTCCGTCAATAATGGGAGAAACGGTGAGCTCATCAATCTCAATGACCAAGTCGTTGGCTTCTGAGGTGGCGAAGACAGAGACCTTGGTAGAGCGGGCCTCGGCGGGGAAATCAGCCTTGCAGTACGCCTTGAGGGTGCTGCCAACCTCCTTAGTAAGGGCGGTGATATCGCGAGAGATGGACATGCGACCGATGGAAGAGGGAAGGTAGACCGTGTTGATGTCAGTGCGGCCGGCGCCAAGGATGGGCCAGTACATCTCAATGACGGACTCCAAGAAGGTAGGGTGGAGGACAGAGCTGGTCTGGTAGTGGTTGGGCATGTCGGCCGCAACATCGAAAGATGAAATGATACCAGTGGAGTACTTGTTCGACGCCTTGCAGTCCTTGATGCACTGGAAGGATGGTCCGTAGCCGACACCAAGCTCAGTCAGGCGCTCGTACATGTCGTTCTCCGCAACGGCAACAGCCTCAGGGCCCTCGCTGGCTTTCATGGTAGCCTCAGCTCCGCGAAGAGCGGCAAGCTTTTGCTCCTTACCATCGACCTCATTAGTCTCAGTGCCATGGAGAGCGATGAGACCAACACAGTGCTCTGTCCAGCCACTGCCGTGAGACCAAGAGCAAATACGGAACTCCTTCCAGGTCTCGGATGCAGTCAGGTTGGTCTCCTGATGGGGGCGCAGGTTGATTGTCATCTCAACATCAGCATCCTGCAGAGCCAACGGCTTGACGACGGAGACATCTCTCAACTCGTACTTCTCGAATGAAATCTCCTTGCGCTGAGCCCACTGAGCGGAAGCCTCCAAAGCCATGCCGATGAAGGCAGAGATGGGGAAGATTGTCACCGACTGGATCGCGTGGTGGCGAAGCCAAGGAAGGTCATCCAAGTGGACAATGTTTCTCCATGTCGGCTCGAGATCGCTGGAGTAGATGGCCTCCAGACCAATCAAGTCGTTTCTGGGCGACTTGCGATACTTGTGCATCTGAGTCATGCGGGACTCTTGCCAGTACTTGTTCTGGTAGTTCCAGGCGTAGCGAGGAAGATCAGTCAACAGTGAAGGCTTCTTCTTCAGGTTGGGGAAGTTAACGTTGTCCATGTTGAGAATGGCACCCTTGGTGATCAGGTTGCAGGCCAAGTCCATCGCAGACTCAACGGCATCCTTCTTACGGACAAGGGGAGAGGCATAAGGCACCTTCATGGCAGCCTCTCCGACGTGCTTCAAGATCTGCTTGATGGGGCCCTGGAGAGCAGAGTGGGGTCCCAATTCGATGATCATGTTGACGCCAGTCTTGTGCTCGCCGACGGGCTCCAACATGGTCTCAAGAGCCTCAGAGAAGCGCACAGGGCAGGTAAGGTTGTTGACCCAGTAGTGAGCCTGGCACTCGAAGCCGTCGATCTGGTGTCCGTAGAGGGAAGAGTGGAAGCGGACATCGGTAGTCTGAGGATGGGGAAGCTCAGAGATGGACTCGCGGTATTCCTTGGCAACAAGGTTCATGTGGTGCGAGTGGTAAGCAGTCTCGACTTGCAGGCGTCTGTTGAACATCTGCTTGTCCTCAAGGTTCTTCTCGAGCTCGCCGAGGGCTGCGGAGTCACCAGAGATGGTCAAGCTGGAGGGACTGTTGTAGCAGGCAATTCTGACCTGTTGTTGCTTGAGAGCGTCGATCATGGGCTGGACTTCCTCCTTAGTTCCACCAACAGCCATCATGGAGCCCTGAAGATCAGGGTTTCTCTGCTTCAGGATGGGGATAAGACGGCCTCTGTGGTAGGCAATGGCCATGGCGGCCTCGAAGCCAATGATACCGGCAGCGTACGCGGCGCCGATTTCACCAGATGAGTGACCAGCAACAGCCGCGGGGCGAATGCCCCAGGTGCGGAGAAGGTCAGTCAATGCAAGCTGGACAGCACTGCAAGCCGGCTGAGAGATGTGAGCCTCGGAAACCTTGGAAGATTCTTGGTCCTTGCTGAGCTCCTCGACGAGGGACCACTCGGCACCCAACTTCCTCAGGCACTCATCGGCTCTGTCAATGGCGGCAGTGTAAATGGGGTATTGGCCGTATAATTCGCGGCCCATGCCCCACCACTGAGCACCCTGGCCGGTGAAGACGAAACCGATTCTCAAGGGCTCAGTCTCCTTGCCGGGAATGACCTTGCCGCTGTTAAGGGTTTCGATAAGCTCGAAAGAGTCAGTGGCGGGGATAGCAACCCTCCATGGAAGCATTGAGCGACGCGAACCAAGAGTGTACGCGATGTTGTCCATGAGATCGTTCTGGAAAATCTCAGGTCTCTGCTCGAGGTAGACAACGAGGTTCTTCATGACGGCACCGACAGAGTTCTTGTCGTTGGCAGACAAGACGTAGATCTTCTTGGTGCTCTTGGCCTTCTTGTTATCGGGAGGAGGAAGGTTCTTGTTGTCCTTCTTGGGGGCGCCGGTGTGCGGTGCCTTCTCAAGAACAACGTGAGCGTTGGTGCCACCGAAACCGAAGTTGTTGACACTGATGTACTTCTTGTTCTTGGGAAAGGGCCTTTGAGTGGCAGGAACCTTCATGTTCCACTCCTTCCATGGAATCTTCTCATTGGGCTTCTTGAAGTCGTGGTTGGGCAGGAGGAAACCTCTCTCCAGCATCATGGTTGCCTTGATGACACCAGCGATACCAGACGCCGCTTCCAAGTGACCAATGTTCGACTTGACTGAGCCGATGAACAAGGGATCCTTCGTTGATCTGTTCTGGCCAATAACGTTGTGGATGGCGGTGGCCTCAATCGGGTCACCGACCTTGGTACCAGTGCCGTGGGCCTCAACATAACCGCAGTCATTGGGGTCAAGACCTGCGTTTCTGTAGATCTGCCTCATGAGCTTCTCTGTGAGGATTGTTAGTAAATGGTTTCATGAAAAACTGGATACAATGTTGCATACCCTGTGCTGCGCCACTAGGCATAGTGATGCCGGGCGTCTTGCCATCCTGGTTGATGCCAGTGCCTCTGATGACGGCACGAATTGAGTCGTTGTCTCTGATGGCCTGGTCGAGGGGCTTCAGAATGATCATGCCACAACCCTCACCACGGCCGAAACCGGTACCGCGCTGGTCAAAGGCAATAGATCGGCCAGAGTCCGCTAGCAATCTGCAGTCATTGTGTCAGTAAAGGAGAAAAAGTGCGACGAAAAGCATCCAAGCGTGCAGCGTATGCCTACCTGCAAGACGAGAAGGAAATCCAAAACTCGGGCAACATGTTCAGATGGCAACCACCAACAATCGCTGAGGTTGACTCGCCAGCACGCAAACTCTGGCACGCCAAGTGGAGGGCGACCAAACTTGCTGAGCAAGCTGTGTCTGCTGTGAAACTCGGTCCCCTGAGATCGAAGAAATGTGAGAGTCTGTTGGACTGCATCGCATGGGCACATCCTAAACCGTATATTAGCGCAATTAAACGTCTGGGGTACAGGGGTTACCCTCATACCTGTGGCCTGGTGCATGGGGATCGTGTCACTGTCCCTGAACAAGTGACTCTCGTACTCGGCGAAGCTGCCGCCGACAAAGACACCGACGTCTTTTCCAACAATCGTGTGCTTGGGAATACCAGCGTTCTCGAGGGCCTCGAATGTGCACTCGAGCAGAAGACGCTGCTGGGGGTCCATGGAGATAGCCTCCTTCTCCGTCAAGCCGAAGAAGGGGGCATCGAACGACGCCAGGTCGACGTCCAAGAAGTTACCACCCTCTGCGTGGTAAGCTCCAGTCTTGCCCGGGTTCGGGTGGTAGAATGCTTCGTGATTGAAGCGCTCCTTGGGCACGGGAGTGAAGCCGGTTCTGGCGCGGGAGCACAGCTCCCAGAACTCGGCGGGGCTGGAGACGCTGCCGGGCATACGGCAGGCCATACCGACGATGGCAATGGGCATCTGCTTCAGGCCGGCGTCGCTGCCGCCGACGGGGTTGGTGTAGCCCTGGCTCGTCGCATGAGCACTGGCACTGCCGTTGGAGTGTCCATTTGTTGATTGTCCGTGGATGTTGAGGCCGACACCGTCTAGGGGCCCCACGGACAGGCTAGTGAAGCCATCGGATGTGGTATCGGAGTGATCGATAGGGGTCATCATGACAGGACTTGCCGATGGCGATGTCCCCGATGAGGAGTAGGACAGCACGCCGGGCGCCATGATGAAGGGTGGAGGAGGGAGATTGGCGGAAGCCGCTTGTATGTGTCGAATCTATTCGGCAAGCATTCGTCGAAAGCAACGAAGAAAGTGACAGCGAAGGTTCCGGCGCTCTAGGCGTTCCTTACAATGACCAAAAGAAGAGAAGAAGAATGCGGATGAGGAGGAGGAAGAAACGAAAGGCGGACTGCGTATGCTCTAGATAGAAAACTTGGGGCTTGGAAGAGGGCAGGCCGGATTGATATGGGAGTACGTACCAAGCCTCGTTGAGATGAGTGAGTGTGACGAAACTTCTTTCCTGGTCCTGGTTGGGATACTTCGTAGGGTTTTTAGCTGATCAACGGCCATGGGGAAATATCACACTTGATGGTGCTCGCTCCGTCGCGAGTGAGTTGACATGGAAGGGACTGGTTGGTGCTCAGATCGCCAAGTCGGCCGGAGTTCCTCGCACAGACTAGCCTGTGTGATTTAAATTTGCCTGACGGTTAGGTAGATCATAGGGAGATCCCGAACGTGCATACTGGGCGCATGCCAGGAACGAAGAAGGACCATCACGGAGAGGTGCCAGGGCACATCCGATGCCGGGTTGCCCATGTTGACCCGGAGCAGCGGAGCAGCGGCAGTCCCTGCCCACCACGACGTCGCCTCCCCCAGATTCACCAGGGAGGACTGTCCAGCATCAGCACGAGGGAAGTGGCCCAGTGGCGGCCGAGGCGAGAAGCTTGTACCATGTCTATGGTTAATCTGGTCAAAAGCAAGTCCTCATGAACTGATTATGCGTAATGTGTGGGCAAATTGGTATATCCGTTCGTCATATTCGCGCATCACTGGAGAAGGGGTGAGAGGGATATGCGGTCCATTCAGCGGCGAGAAGCAGGACCGGCAGTTCATCGTCCAAGGGGGTGTTTCCATGTCCAATCGGTCACCGTGATTCGGAGACATGATCAACTGCAAGGCGGTTTGCCCTTGATTTGCTGGATGCTGAATGGCGTGAAGACGTGCCTTAGTTTGTTTGCAATTGAGCGGCACTGCCAGGCTGGTATGCAGTCTGGTATGCAGTTTCTTCGCAGCGTGCAGAAGCCGGACGTTTGAATCGGACCAATACATGGGAGCGCAATGAACACTCGAACCTCCCGGACGGGAGCCCGGTGGCGTGGTTCGGAGGTGAGGTGGTGAAGTCGTCGCCGAGGGGAGTTGCCATGGTGTCTGCACCGGTACGCCGCACTACGCAGTAAACGGCTGGGGGTTCTCTTGGGGGTGGATCACTCCACTGAAGCATTGGACCGTGAAGCAACAGCAACGGCGAGCTGGGCCATCAGGAGGTGGAGCAGCAGCATTGGAAGCAACACAGCCAAGCACAGCACGGCATGGCAACGCAGCAAGCAGTGTGCTCCGTGGACGTGAGAGACGAGGTCATTGCGGCATGGTCCCGACTCGGCCTAGCGGGCCGGGGTGGAGAACTTTGTTCCTGATTATGTAAGTCTCGTTCGCCGTCATGATTGGCTTCCCAGAGGTTCTTTGAGCCTCATAAACTTGAAGAGGCTCTGTGAGGATTCACTTGGGACTCTTGAGAGCCATTTTGCGGCCGATGTCTGAAAGTTGCCGCTGCAGTGGCGACCCAGTAATCCAGTGCCAAGAGAGAGCAAGAAGGATGGGATCCTGCAGCTTCTGGCCCCAGACTGACCAGTTTGCCATCCTACCGAACGAGAGACGCACAGAGAGACACTGAGAAAGAGGCAGAGCAGCTCTGAAAGCTGCCCGTAGAAGAGATGATGGGGCGGAGTGCATATTTCCCCCCATCTCCAGGCATCCGTCTGGTCCTATTTGCTGGGAACATCTGCGGGTTCTGTGGATTCTGCAGAACATTTGCTGGAGAAACCCAACGTGGCGGAGCTCGTTTCTTCATCTGCTCTCATGTTTAGTTGGTCTGGTCATCGGCGCTCGTTTATTGTTCGGTTTAGAAAAGAGTGCGTCTTGTGTCAAAAGCACCGACGGTCACGATAGCAGCGGCGGAGGTGTCGGGGCGTTGCGTCTGTTCTCTGCCCACTTTCGTCCCGATGACATGGTCAGGACCAGGACAGAGGCCTATCGCATCAAGCAAACCGAGACCCTCTGCCAAGGTATGCGGTGCCGGTTCCTGTACAGATGAATAAGAAAAAGCCCAGGACCGTTCCAACGTCTGTCTTACTGTAAGACAGCCCAGCGAATGGGATTGAGTGGGCACTCAGCAGCAGCAGCAGCAGCCTTGGGGCAACAGCAGTATTCGTAGTATACCTGCGTCTGGAACGATATCCGGCGGGCGAGACATCTGGGGAGAGAAGGGGGAATAAAGCAGGGGTTGAAGGTACAGAAAAACGCGGCGGCAGATCTAAGCTGCAGAGAGTTCGCAGTGATTGCAGGTAGGAGATGCAGCCTTCGAACGGCACCATATGCAGGTGTTGGTGCAGGATCCCGAAAAAGGAATAGTCGGATCTATCGCCCGAATTGGCTTACCTTGGCCCTTTTCGCCTGACCTGGTGACTGGGGTTTGGGAGAAACGAGAGATGAGGATGGAGAGGATGAAGTCAACGTAAGGTCGCGTCGGGTTGCACCGCATATGACCATATCCACTTTATCGTCTTATCGGCCTATCGCATCTACCCTCCTTATCGTACTACACTGTCTAAGACATTGTCCTGCTTAACACTCCATACCCGTTTCTCTGGTCCACCTCGATGGAAACTCTCCGCAATACTTCCACTCGCACCTCAGCCCAACTCCCTTGAACATTTCCACATCTCTCAGACACAACAAATTACACATCATCCTTCTCGACAACAACAATCGTTACTGCTACTCCATCGAGTCAAGAGAGTTCGGTCTCGCATTCAGGTTTCGACTCCCTATCCCGGTTCTATTCGTTGTTACTGGTAGAGAACCCAAGGCATGAAGGGTGTTTCTAAAACTGCTTCTGTCAGAAAGCTTTGGCAGCTTCCAAATCACAAGCGCGCCCTCCGTCGCACCTCCTTCCCGTGCCGTTGCACCATCAAAGCTCTTATTTGACACGCGCCAGCCACACTAGAGGCCTTATCCCTGCACCGCACTCGATTTGCGCAGGCGTTAGTCTGGTTCTACGGTCATCCTAGCTCGAGTACAGCTAGAACCTCAAGGAGGTACCTCGGACTTTGCCGCGCTGCAGTACGCTTCGTTTGTCAATGTGTACCTGAATCCTGCCCATACCCACTAACTCACCCTGCGCTCTGCTCACTCACTCAAGGATCACATACGAGAACTCTCATCCCCCAAATGTGTCCTGTTCCATCCTAGCTCATCTAACCACATCCCGTCAAGTCGTTCTGCAAGTCAGCGAACGGCCGTGTTCCAAGGAAACGCATCTTTGCAAAACAATGTTTCCTTCTCTGCAAACACACGCGCCTACCGTGGACGCCGCTCACTCACTCACTCACTCACTCATCCCCCAAGCCACTCAATCGCCCCATCTCTCTCACCCGCCTTTCATCCTCGCTTACTCTCCGATATGTACGCACAAGCGCACTCTCACAACCTTCCAATCCCACATTCTCACTCAAGCTCATCACGCTCTTCAGCACACTTTCTGACTATCCCACCCATCCCGCTCTGCTCATCTCCTCGCCCGTTCTAGTCAGATAGACGAGACCGTCACACCCACACTGCGCCCCCGCGCGGGCACTTCCTTATCCCGTTTCAAGCTTACAAGGTGACAAGAGCCGGACCGAAGTCCAGCCCAAAGTAGTCCACTTCAGAACCAACATGTCATCGGTTGCACCAGTGCATCACCAACGCGTCGACCGAGGGTTCGGATCTCGGGATGCCCAGAGGCTGACTGGCAGCCTGCCACATCTATCAGACTATCTGCCAAGTGTCTTGCCTCTCTCTGCAAAGAAGCCCACTGGCAGGCATTCCTCGACCCCTTCCATGTGGCGTGGCGTCTCGACGCGCTTGTTTCGCCTCCATGTCTTGAGTCGCCCACTCACTAACATCGTCTATCCTCGTCCAGTTTTTACTCGACCGAGGACCGGGACACCCTGCCAAGCCGGTCTCAGGACCGATACTCACAGGCCCGGTCTCACATCACCTCATCATTCCAACCCTTTCAGTGAAGCACTCATCCACCCATCAGCCGCTGGTCCAGTATTCCGCTCCAGCTCTCGCGCTCTAGACAGCCCAAACCGACCCGTTGTTCGGGTTGGTCCCATCATTCAACGGCAAGGTACCGACAAAACAACTCATCGCCCCAATCTTGCTGAGGTGCAGAGTTTCACAAGTTCCTTATTCGTTCCGGGTCACGGTCGATTTGAGTTGTCATTCTAAGCCTGGGACTGGGTCAACTAAGCCGCCTCCTGTGTCTTGTCGTCGTCCCGCCTCAACTGCTGCGCCGTCTCATTACCTGTCTGAGCTGATGATTTTGTCGTGGGTCGATTACCGCGCATCATATCACAAGTGTTTCTTTAGATAGCTTCGAATTGATTAAAACGCTCCTGTTGGCCAGGTCATCCTCATCGAACTATCTCATCTCCACACCTCGCTGATTCATCATCCACAATCATCAACATCATCAAACCACTTCATCACAAATACTCTCGCGTCCACTTTCCAGCTTCCCGCTTTTTGACAGTTCACTTGTCATTGGACGATCGGTCTCGCTCGGTTCCGCTCTCACATCTCACGCTAACACATACCTACATTCACCATGTTGCGCTTCTTGTGCCTTCCCGGTGCCTACGGCAGCTCGGACGTGAGTACTCAGACCTGTAGATGCTATCTATGGCATTTCACTAACATACACTAGAAATTCCAAGTTCAACTTGGTGAGTTCTCTCTCATGCAGTAGAGTCACCACAGACTTATCGTGAGCGGCTTCACTATTGAGATTCACTTACTGATAGTCTCTCAGCCCCCATCTTGAAGGAGCTTACTGAGGATGGCACGGCTCAGTTCCACTTCATCCATGGACCTTGCAAGGCCGTCCCGCCTCCGGGGTTTGAGGACTATTTCGGAGCTCCCCCCTACTACCGCTTCATCGAGCCCGATAGGGATGTCGAGAAGTCCCACAGCGACGATGTCCTCATGCGCATTCGTGACTTCCCTGACTGCGAGACCCCCGAAGACACGATGAGAGAGCTCATGAGAGAGGGCATCGCAACCACCCACCGCAGTACCGACAGAGCCATCAAGTTCCTGGCCGACATTGTCGCGAAGCGCGGCCCCTTTGACGGCATCATCGGCTACTCCGAGGGCGCCACCGTGGCATCCACCTTTATGCTTTACGAGCAGCGCCGCCTCAAGCGCTCCGGCATCAAGCCGGCGTTCAAGTACGGCATCTTCTTTGCTGGCTGGCCTCCGGTCGACCCCAAGACTCACGCCCTGGTCCTCTCTGACGAGAGCGAGGAGCGCATCGAGGCCCGCACCTTGCACATTAGTAAGTCAAGACGATATTCGCATTGCTTCAATGCTGCTTATCCGGAGGAATGCTGACGATCCTCTTCCTTTCAGTCGGATCCTTGGATCCTTATGTCGATGGTTCTATGGCCCTTTACAACATGTGCGATCCCGACACCGCATATCTTTTCGACCATGCCAAGGGCCACACCCTACCCCGTGACAAGGATACCATCAAGGAGCTTGGCGACATCATCCGCGAGACCCAGGCTGACATGCAAGAAGAGGGTCTCCTGTCGTAAGGATGGAGTGTGGGGGAAGGGTGATCCCAGCCGAGGGAATATCCCCGGATAATTAGCATCGATTGTCGTTTTTGGATTTTTTTTTTGGATTCATGGACGGGGTAGGGAGGTACAGCAAAGGGACTGGTTTCCTCCTCGTGTCAGCATTAGAGATAGACGGGTGTTTGGCATGCCGCATATCCTGGAGCCTGCTGGAGTCGGGTATTATGGTTATTTGGGTTTTCTTGCGTCGGTTTATGGTTTTCCTGGCTTTACTGGTTTTCAAATCATGTTTATCGCCACCGACTTCTTCAAGGGGGTTTTGGTTGGGTTGTTAGTTGCTAGGCAGGACGAGTGCAGCTAGAAATTCTAGATGGCAATGCCAGAGCATTTGACAGGAGTTCCCATCACGGGTCCGTCAACATGTCAAATGTGATTGATTGACTGACTAGAGGCCGAAGCGCATAAATGCATGATCCGGCGGAAACGAACTCCGTAGAGTCTAGAGACGCTTGTCTTTTGTCTTTTGTCATGACGGGGTAGGTATGGATCCATCAACTAGCCTTTGAAGTCAAGATGTCAAATACTCCATGTGCCAGAAATACACATCATGGATAACACATGTTCCTAAACACAAACACGGGCAGAGAAAACGCGCTGGGCAAGAAATTAAAAACGTTCCCTTCACGTGTGTCCTCGGAATCGCATCCCCTGGCTCGCGTTCTTTCCGGCCGGCCAATCCATGCCGCTCATCTGCGAACCATGGACACCACTTCCCATGACTTGTAAAACAAAAGATGAAATCTCTCCATTGAATTGCCCTTCTAGGCATTGATCGTCAGAGATTGGCGACACATGGAGAAAATGAAAGGGTGGTGAAGGGGAAGGGATGGTGTGGACGGGTAAGGATGAGGAAGGGGGAATTGGGTGCAATACCTGTCTTGGATCGCAAAGCATGCGTTTCCTGGCTTTGCCCCAGACCACTCTGGGACGAGCCGGAAGATGATCCATCCTCCCGCACGGGCGATCCCAGATAGCCCCTCAACCTGCATATGCGAGTATGAGAAAATGGTATCCCGTAGTTATTTCGTGCTCTAAGCATGCGCTTTGGCGTGCAGAGCTTTGACACGGAAATAGTGCGAAGTGAGCGACAAGACAGACATACGAAAGTACCCGCGAAAAGAAGCGGCAAAACTGGAGCACTGCACCTAAGACTAAGAGAAGAGAGCCCCCAGCAAAAGGGAACATGAACACATGCTTCTCGTTTCATCTTTACATCACACGGGTAGAGAGAAGAAACCACGTCCGTTCCCTTACTCGTTTCCGCTTGCCCCCTCCAAGACCGATCTGAGCTTACCCTCACACACTCTCAGCCATCTTTGCCCCCATTCCTTCCATGGCCCTTCCTCTCCTCCACGCTCCTCCCACGCTCCGCCCTCTGGGTCTGGGTTTCCCTATTGAGTTCCACTTGAGCGTTTCTTACCTTTGAATCATCGACTTAGACTTGTCTTTGCTGCCCAGGCGTCTCCCCTCTCAGTCCCAAGGCATCAACCATCTGCTCTCCCCAAGAAAGGCACCCTCTACTCTCTCTGTCTCCCGTCTCCAAATCCATCCCATCTCTCCCACCAAGCAATCTCACAATCCTCATCCCCAAACAACTCTCTCGGCGCTGGGTCGATTTCGCTGTTTCGAACAGCGATGCGGAACCAACACAGCCCTTTGATCACTCAGGTGGCCCGTTGACAACCTTAGTGGTTACATCTGCCGTTCCCTCCATTTCACAGCGATACCCCCCATCCCCCGATTTCCCCTTTCCAAACCCTTGCCCTGTTCTCCCCCTTCCCCTCCCCTCCTGATCGAGTTTTGGCTGTGGTTTCTTCCAGAGCCCCATCTGCGATTTGCCAACCTGACCATCCCCCGGATCCTAGCAAGTCGCCTGCTTGCTCTTTGTCAATTGTTGGAGACTACCGCGGGACGACAAAAGACGCCACCTTCAACATACTCGAAAGCAACATCTTTGGCATTTGACAAATCTTGCCACGACTTTGGGTATCGAACATCGCATAAGGACACGAGCATTTAGTCAAAGTATACCGGATCTACCACTTAAGCAAGCCCACCCTCCTCACACGCCGATCCCTGGTCAGCTCCCACATGGCCCGGGCCTCCACATAGCTTGCAACCCAAACACGATCTGCCGCCGGACCCGGTATCCGATCACCCACTCCGGTCTACGAGACCCACTCCAACACCCGAACCCACCATGGCCACGCCGGCCGGCGCCGCTGATGCGGCAGCTCCGGCTGCGGCCAACGGGGCCGCGGGCGCCCCCACCGATCCCGGTGCCACACCAGCGGAGCCCAAGAAGGCCTGGTACAAGCTCAACGCCAAGACGTTATTGACGATACGCAACTTCTTTGTATGTTCGATTGGCTTTGACACCTAGTCGCCATCGCGGCTTCGTCGTACCTGTTCTTTGCTGACCGGCGACACAGAAAATTTTCCACTATGGAACATTACTCGACAAGTTTATCATAGTAGGGTCAATCATTGGCGCTATCGGTGCCGGCCTTACCATGCCGGTGATGAACATTGTCTTTGGTGAGTGCATTTCCACGCTCAAGACTATACCAGCTCACTGACGTGCTTAGGACAACTGGTGGGCACCTTCACGGGGTTCTTCATGCAAGGCACATCAGAGACACAAGAAGACTTTGAGAAAGCAGTCAATCAGGGAGTGTAAGTCTCAACAAACATCCATGTCTGACCACATCAACTGACTTGACCAGATTATACATCGTCTATCTGTTCATTGCCAGGCTCATCTTGACATACCTCTCCAATGTGAGTACCCTCAAATTATAGGGTTTGCATCAACTGACAAATGATTAGCTCGGCTTCCGCATGACGAGTCTTCGCATCTCAGCAAAGATTCGCCTACACTACCTACGATGCTTGTTCAACCTCCCAATCTCAATGCTAGACATGTTGGCGCCTGGTCAGACAGCCGCCATCATTACCATCACCGCAAGCATCTTGCAGCTGGGTATCTCCGAGAAGATGGGGCAATTCTTCTCTAGTCTTGCAGTCGTCATTGCAGGATTTACCATCGCTTTCGCCTACAACTGGCTTCTCACGCTAACGACGAGCTCCGGACTGGTCTTCATCGCCATCGTGTACGCCATCACCACGCCGCCAATCATCAAGAGGTTAAAGGATGTCCAGGACATGGACATCCAGGCCGCCTCCGTCGCGACCGAGGCTTTCAGCTCAATCCGAATGCTTGCTGCATGCGGTGCCGAGTTCAAGTTGCTTGCAAAGTACGGAATATTGGCAGATCAGTCACGGAAGAGGGGTGCTGGTATGGCTTGGCTCATTGCGGTTCAGCAAGGATTGAGTAAGTTGGCGCGACCTCATTGATAGAGTTATTCCTTGCTGACATTCCAAAGTTTTCTTCGCCATCTACGCGTAAGGATTCGATCCAACGGACATTCAAGCTTGTCAGCTAACACGTTTAGAACCTTCGCTCTGTCATTCTGGTACGCTTTCCAGATGTACACTATGATGGCCCTGACGACTCCCACATCCTTGATCGTGTAAGTCATTATCCTCCCTCAGGATCAGCCTTGAGTAACTCATCCGAAATACAGTGTCCTTCTCTGCATCATGATGATGGCCTCCTCCTTAGGTCAAATCACTGCGCCACTACAGTCCGCATCGCAGGCCGCCGACGCCAATGCCATCTTCCACACCATCATAGACGCCCCCAAGGCTACGTACGGAACGCTCAAGGCCCCCGAGGTCTCGGCCGCCGAAGACATTGTTTTCCAGGCCGTCAACTTTGTGTACCCCAAGCGTCCTGACGTGAAGATCTTGGACAACCTGTTTCTCACGTTCCCTGCCGGCAAAGTCACTGCCATTGTGGGTCCTTCGGGTTCCGGAAAAAGTACAATCGTCGGCATTTTGGAGAGATGGTACGAGTTCAATGGTGACATGCAGACTAACCAACTGGTAAGCTATGTTCTCTTCGATTGCATTCGTGAGACAGTAACTGACACCATCCCAGGTTCTCTGGCTCCGCAACGGTATCATCAGTGTCGGCGGCCGGTTACTCAGCGAGATTGATCCCAAGTGGTGGCGTAGCCAAATCGGCTTGGTCCAACAAGACAACGCTCTCTTCAACACTACTATCTTCAAGAACGTCGAGTACGGTCTCATCGGAACTGAATGGGAGCACAAGTCCCAGGCGGTTAAGGCAAGGTTGATTGAAGAGGCATGCAAGGATGCCTTTGCCGATGAATTCATCTCACGTTTGCCAGAGGTATTGTCTTCAAAGCCTCCGCGTCAGACTCATATACTAACCCGCGTTAGGGATACCAAACTGAAGTTGGTGATGCTGGCATCAAGCTCAGCGGTGGTCAGCGCCAACGTCTCGCCATCGCCCGCGCCATCGTCAAGCAGCCCAAGATCCTCATCCTCGACGAGGCCACCTCCGCCATCGATGTCCGTAGCGAACAGATCGTGCAGGCCGCTCTCGACCGCGCATGCAAGGGACGCACAACCATCATCATCGCCCATCGTCTCGGAACCATCAAGAAGGCCGACAACATCATTCTCCTCCGCAAGGGCCAGGTCGTCCAGCAGGGTACGCACGAAGAGCTCATGTCTCAAGTCGACGGTCCTTACCACCTGCTGGCTACTGCACAGAAGCTCGACATGGGCGTCGAAGAGGAAGAGGACGTCCTCTTTGGTGACCTCAGCTGGAGACGACCCGAGCCTGAGCGTCTTTCCGTCCACAAGTCTCTTCAGGGAGGCAGCAGTACCGGGGATCTCACCGAGAAGCGACCCAGCAGCGAGGGCACTTCCACGGGCATGCTTCAACATCTCCACGAGATCAACGGTTCTGATGAGGAGCTCGAGCGCATCGAAGCCGGTAGCTTGAGAGTTGTCAAGGAGCCAAGAGGATGTCTTGGTAGATGGAGAGCATTCCACATGTTCGGTAGCTTCGGTCAGCTGCTCGGCGAGCAGAGGAAGAGATGGAAGACGTACATCATCATTGCGTTTGCAGCACTCGGTGCTGGAGGTGAGCATTCATCAACATACAATGCCTCCTGATTGAAATACTGACAATACTTGCAGCGAGTACCCCTGTTCAAGCTTACCTTTTCGCGGTTCTGGTTTCTCTCTTCTCTTACTGGGGCAACTTCCTGAGAGTCATCGCCAACCATTGGTGTGAGATGTTCATGTACCTCGCCACAGGTGTGGGAGTCAGTCATTTCCTGCTCGGCTGGGCAACCACCACAATCGGCTTCGTAAGTCACGCGTTCATCTCTGCTGGGTTCTTACCTGACAATTTCACAGGGTATTGTACGCGTTTACCGCAAGGAGTACTTCCGCAACATCATCTACAAACCTTCCTCATTCTTCGATGCTGAGGGCAACTCTGCCGGTTCCCTGACCGCCCGCCTCGCCACCGATCCTACCATGCTGCAGCAGCTCCTGGGCACAAACATGGCTTTCGTTCTCATCTCGCTGTTCAACGTCATTGGCTGCGTTGTCGTTGGTCTCGTCTTCGGCTGGAAGCTTACCCTCGTCGCGCTCGGCACATCCATGCCTATCATCGTGGCAGCCATGTTCTACCGTGTGAGGCACGAGACCAGCTTCGAGACCGCCAACAATGCCGTCTTTGCCGAAAGTGCCAAGTTTGCGTCGGAGAGCATCAGTGCGATCCGCACCGTTTCCAGTCTTACGATGGAAGACGGAATTTGCGACCGCTACGATAACTTGCTCAAGGATCACATCAAGGATGCTTTCCGCAAGTCTCGCTTTTCCGTCATGGTCTTCTCTTTCAGCGATAGTATTTCGCTGCTTTGCATGGCTTTCGTGCTTTGGTGAGTGGTTTCATGTGTGGATTGCAGACTTTATTGCTGACTATTTGCAGGTACGGTGGCAAGCTGCTTGCCGGGCACGAGTATACGCCCTTCCAGTACAGTAAGTATATACAACCCATCGAGGTCGATTGTTTACTGACACTCCGCAGTGGTTGTATACATTGCGGTTGTTCAAGGTGGCATGAGCGCCGGTCAATGGCTCAGCTTTGGTCCCAGTATGTCCCCCTCCACGTCCCACACGTGAATGCAGCTGACAGTCAATAGACATTGCCAAGGCAAAGACCGCAGCCGACCGCATCCTGGCTCTCCGCGAGAACGAAGACGACGACAACCAACCCCAAAAGGGCGTCAGCGACATCGTTCCTTACGAAGTTCACTACGAGAAGGGCGTCGAGATCGACTTCAAGGACGTCTGGTTCAGCTACCCAACCAGAACACTCCCCGTCCTCAAGGGCCTGGACCTCAGAATCGAGCGAGGCCAATTCGCCGCCATCGTCGGACCTTCCGGCTCCGGCAAGACGACCATCATCTCCCTCCTCGAGCGCTTCTACACCCTCCAGGCCGGCGGCGAGATCCTGTACAACGGACACGACATCAAGACGCTCGACCTCGTCAACTACCGCAAGAACATCTCTCTCGTCTCCCAGGAGCCCAATCTCTTCACCGGATCCATCCGCGAGAATATTCTCCTCGGTATCGAAGACGAGGACGCCGTGTCAGACGAAGCGGTCCACGCCGCGGCGCGGGATGCAGGTATCCACGACTTCATCATCTCGTTACCCGAGGGCTACAACACCCAAGTCGGCAACGCCGGCGTCACACTCTCAGGAGGCCAGAAGCAGCGCGTCTCCATCGCGAGAGCGCTCATCCGCCGTCCGTCGCTGCTGCTGCTCGATGAGGCGACGAGCGCGCTCGACAGCGAGACGGAACGCGGCGTCCAGGCCGTGTTCGACGCCACCAAGGGCAGCCGGACGATGATCATGGTCGCTCACAGGCTTGCGACGGTGCAGAATGCCGACGTCATCTTCGTCATGGCGGACGGCAAGGTCGTTGAGCGGGGTGATCACGCGAGTTTGATTGCCGAGAAGGGCATTTACTTCCAGATGGTGAGTCTTCTTCCTCTTCCGTACCTCCCCCCGAGTCCCATACATCCCCCAGCAGCTCTTGAATCTTGGCTAACTTTCAACAGTGTCAATCACAAGCATTGGACAAATAATCCATAGGTTTCACTCTCTATCCGGGCTTTAGACAAACAAGAAGGCGGAAAGTGGTAAAGGCGTCAGAGAAAGATTGTGTAAAACTAACATCAATACCACGGGGTCATTTGCGAATTTTCTTCATTCAACAAGGTGCATTTTCCACTTATTTGTTACAACCTCAAAGTTATCAACTTTGCATGTTATCTACTAGTCTCCATTTAGAAATAGCTTTATTCAAATTTTGAGAGAATTCTCTCATTCACTTCATCAACATCAGTAGCTCTATTGAGTCGAATCACCAAGACGACATGCTACCACCCACTCCACCACCATCAAAATCAGGTCAATCACGCGATGCATCGAGTCACTGAGCGTCCTCGCACGTCACGAGAAGAATCGCCATAGCAAACATAACGTTCAACGCTTTCTTCAAATTTGAATTCTATTGTACACATTCTTCAATACTGTAACTTTTCCCCACTGAAGCCTTTTTTCTTCTTTTTTCGTGTCCGGGGGGCCTTTGGGATCTGGGTTCCCAGGCATCAACAAATCGGAAACGCAAATCGCAAAACATGGACATTGAAAGAGTAACAACACCATTTGGGTCTCGTACATCCGAACAAACAACATCGGATACGTGGCTTGTGACGGACACGGGGCGCGCCAAGTTCGCCAAGCACCACCAGGCCGCTGAGCCGTCGTCCTCATCGTCGTGGTTGACGAGCGGACCAGACCCACAGGAACGCCCGTTCATCCCATTGTCGGTGACCGACGGGAAACCAGGAATCGGAACCGGGGATTCATTACATATACCTCGTCACAAAAACATCCGAACCCAAAACGCACAACGAACCACGTCAAAACGTAGGCGCGACCCTTTCTTCGCTCTGCTCCATCACGCTCCTGAGCTTCAGTGCCCGGAGGGAGCTCGTGGATCTCTGCGGCACATGGCCCGCCGCTGCCCTACCGCCGCTCATGGCTCCCGCGCTGCCCATGCTCATGGTCGACCTTGAGCGTACTAGCCCGCCGCCCATGGCCTGGTGGTGATGATGACTGGTCGAGGACATGGCAGCGGAGCCGCTGCGAGGTCTGGTGTTGAGGCGGCTCATCATAGAGCTCAGAGCACTTTGCGCGTCGACAGGATGATTGAGTGGCGGAGAGTGAGACCCGATTACGGGGTATGGAGCGGGTGAATTGGGACCCGAAGGTGGTCCTCCTCGGGTGAGCGATGCACCACGGGGCCGATTGAGCTTGGAAAGTAGCATTTCTGCTGTCGGCTTCCCGTGTGGTTGTTGACTAATACCATATGGATGATTGAATCGTGTTGGCGAGCGACTTGAGCCGCGGCTTGAAGGTGGCGTCGGAAGCACCCTGTTCCCGTTGCCGTTGTTGCCATGCTTCAGCCTCATGGCGTGTTCCGGTCCGAGACCAAGACCCAACATGGCGTCGCCAGCCATTTCTGGTGGTGAAAGCGGGCCGCCGTTCTGAGACATCTCGAGCAGTGCGGCCCTTTGGATGTCTTCAAAGTTCATAGCAACAGCTGGCATCTTACTCAGCCTGCGGATGGCACGGCTATTCTTCTCGACGAAACTATTCATAGCCCGCAGCGCGCCCGCGTTTTCGCGGCTCGCGACAGCGCTGGTATCGCCTGTGCTGCGACCACGGGCCTGATGCACAGCGTTGAGGGTCAGAGGCTGCTGCCCGTGGTGAGCAGGGGACGAGGCGTCGTGACCGCCCCCAGCATGTAAGCTGGCCTGCACTTGCGCCATGACCCGATCGAAGTCAATGTTCTGATTCGGGTTTGCTCTTGACATGTAATACGGCGCTGATGTCGGCTGCTCCAGCATGCTCGGGTTGAGCTCCGCTTTGGTGGCGAGTACAAAGAGGCTTCCGTCACGGATGCGGCGGCGGACGAGGGCCCAGCGGGTCCGGGCCGGGTTTTGCTCGAGCTTGGGCTGGTAGACGGAGCAGCGGGCGAGCTGGGCGTAAAAGACCTCGAGGTGGCGAGCCATACGCTCGAGAACCTGAAGGAGGAACGTGGAAAGTGCGGTGAGGCGGGTGTTTTCGACATCTGGATCGGACGAGTCTTTCATTGACGCTGCGATGCTGTCAAAGGCGTCCATTCCAGTGCATGCTTCCTGACGGAGGTCTTCGAGAAGGGCAATGTCAAGCTCGACGCTACGGGCTGCGTAAGCAAAGACACCGCGTTCTTGGAAGCGAAGTGAGGCGTCGGCGTCGCAAACGAACTGACCCACGAGGGCGACCTCTTTGGTGCAGTGCGCCGCATCTCCGCTCGTCTTTGCGCGCGCCACGGTGCCGAGGACGTCGGGCAGCTTGGTGTCGGCGGCCGGGCCATTGGCGCTGGCGACACCGAATGATAGTCTGAGGACAAGCTCTTGAAGCTTGTGGCCAAAAAGAGCCGAGAAGCCTCCTTGAAGCAGTCGACTCTGGTAGCCATAGAATGTACGGACAGCGATGATGTTAGGCAGACTCTCGCGCAGCCAGATGTTGTTGCTGCCTGCAGGGTCGTGGGATGAGTTGGTCTCGAGGGACGCGCCCATGATCTCGTACATCTCAAATTGATGAGCCACCAGGGTTTCGACAGTGGATCGGAGGTACGCCGACCAGAGATCGTGCAGAGCAGAGATCTCATCGCTGCCGTAGTCGGGCTTCGGGGTCAAGTGTCCAACAAAGTACTTGGTCAACAGGCTAGAGACTTCGGGGTTGTTGGTGTGAGCGAGGTTGTCAAATGACTTGGAACAGTCAACACCCGCGTTGGACTTGATGATGAGCGTTCCGCCGGGGTGCATGGGACAGAAGTCGGTGACATCGTAGACACTGCCGTGGACTCCGATCCACATGCGAGAACCGGGACGGTGACCTGTATGCTTTGCGAGCTCCGACAAGGGAATCGTCGGCAGGTTGCAGGGCAGAGGCTTGGGCGTCATGAAAACATCGAGCATAAAGCGTCTCTCCGCAAAAGCCTTGTCGATAATCAGATCAACTCCCTTTTCTGTAGCGGTCCTGTAGGTGTAGATTGCCTTCCTGATTCCGTTCATAACGGAATCGAACACGGAGACGGAACCACAGACGTAAAGGTAGCCGCCGAGACCTCCCTGCTTCTTGGACATGACAAGGTCGCAGACCTGCAGACCCTGTTCAACGATCAATGTGTCGATGTAGCGAGGAGGGATGTGCTTCTCCACGAGATCCTGGCCCTCGTAAGCGAGACCACGAGAATCCCTTGAGAATGCTACGTGGACTTCCATGAAGTCTGCGTTGACATACTGTCGCAGCTCCTCCTCGAAGCAGAATTTCTCACGGTTCTGGACTCCGAGGTACAGAAGGTTCTTGCCACCAGACAAGCCACTTTGTGTGAGGCGAGCCTGCCAAAAGCTGCGGAAGGGTGCGATACCGCTTCCGCCGGCGAAAAAGGCGCAGGGTGCCATAGGGTCAAGCGGGAGGTGGAAGGCTGCTGGGCGAGAGACGCCAATGAGAATCTCGTCGTCTGAGTCAATCTCGCCCATCTCCACGGGCGGGTTCAGGAATCCACTGGAGACTCCGGCACGGGTGATTTCCTTGCCCCTGGAAAAGGTAGAGCACAGCTTGTATTCCGAACGGGACACAGCGAGGTCGACTGTCTCTGGGAGAAGTTCTTCCGTGTAGCTTGCGATGGAGTAGGTGCGTGGAACCTCGAGGGGAACAAGATCCGCAAGCCATGCGAGATTGTCGAGATTGAATACTCTATCCCAGATTTGGGGTGGCGTATCCGTAACAGCGTCCTGCAAGAGGTCGCCCAACGATCCTCTGACGGGCCACTCATCCGTGCTGAGGACCTGCAAGACGGTGTTGGAGGATGCATGCAGCAGACCATGAACCTTGAGGGCCATCTCCTTGGTGATTGGGGCAAGATGGCCACGTCTAAGAATGTCACCGACTGTGAGCTTGGGTGTCGCGGTTCTCCTGACAGACCCGAGATGCATCTCGAAGCGAGCCCAGATTCCGCTGACCTCGACCGGGGCGTCGATATGCTCCTCCAAGCCCA